GTCAACACTTTCGATTCAGCATTTCCAGTCACGGACATACATATCTCTGACGCGTGAGTTCCAGTGCCCTTTCAGTGCAGTTCTGCCAATGCAAAAATAGAGAACTGTGGGGAGTACAGCCCCTAAGGATCACTGTAGACACTGATTCATTCCACTAGATGGTATTCTTTCACTGAAATAAGAAAGAATAATTTCAGTAGCACAGATCTTCGGTTGTTTGATTTTGGCATTGGTCTCTGGGACCTCATTTCAGAGCTGTAGATGGCAAAGATGACTGCTGTGATGGTTCCCATGGTGCATCCAAAATACCATGGTAGGACAGTGATCAGTGTTCTTAACACAGGTTAAAAGATTGTGTCAAAACCAGTGATATCACTCTGAATTCTGGAAGTTGGGTTTATACTTAGAGCAGGTACTGCCGGGGCAGCTAAGGCAAAAGAAGCTGTTATATGTTTGCTTCAGGAGCAAAGCAAGTTTCCTTCAGTTATGATGTGTGCTAAGGCTACAACAGGCTCCCATATAAAGCTGTTCCCGAAACAAGATTGTGAATGCTGGTGGAGGAAGAAAACAATTAAAGTCCAAGCATATGTATTGTATTTGCTCTTTTACCAGAAAGAAAATTTCCAGCAGTCACGAATAAAAAAAACAACCAAAAAACCCACCACTTAGTTACAGTAAACATCTTCTGTTGTATTCTGGAAACAAAATACCAAAAGGTAAAATACAACGTACAAGGGCAAATAAAAAGTCAATTGTCATATATGACAATACCTTGTCTGACAGAATAAGAAAACTTCCGAGCCACTTTGAAACTTTCTGTGTTTGCTTGAAATTTCTGGCAGGAAGGAGCTTGGTTTTCAACACAGATTTAGCTGTTACGGAGATCTCTGCTATTGGTTTGAGAGAACCATGTGAAACGGACCTATATAAGTCCTTCATAGGGGCATGCTCGCTGACTACTGAGGCAGAAGTGAGGATGTGGACAGCTTGGTGTGTGGTCATGTACTTCTTTGGAGCAAGTAAGACATCAGTAGAACCACGATACCTGCTCTGCTCTGGGACAAAGTAGTTTACTTGTGTTACTGGTTTGTTGTTGCTGTTGTTTTGCTTTGTCTTATAGGAGCTAAAATCACCCAAACCTCAAGCCTTGTACTGAAAGAAGATGAGAAAGCTACTCTGACATGCAGTCAAAATGATAGTCACAACTATATGTGCTGGTATCTGCAGCAGCCAGGGAAAGGGCTGCAATTACTCTATCATTCCGTTGGTCCAAATCAGGTGCAAGAGGGTGACATTCACACTGGGTACAAAGCTGACCGGTTAAACCTCGCAGACTTCTCTTTGGATATTTCACCCGTGAAGATGAACCATTCAGCTGTCTATTTCTGTGGCAGCAGTTTGGACACAACACTTCAAAGTCACTGGCTTTCTTTACATAAAATTCTCTCCTTTCCAGCACCTTCCCTCAGAAGCTCTCAGCACAGAAAAGGCTCATGTAGGCCTATTGACAAACCAGACTTTGTTGAGGAGTTGGAACAAGAGAAGCAGAATAGGTCTTTGAAGTGCAGGTTAATTGCTCAGCTCCTCTTTCCTGGTCAGCTGTTTATTCTCTATCTCATAAGAACAATCAATAAAGATTGTTAATCAAATGCAGACATGAAATAAAGTTAAAACTGCAATCTACACAGCCACAATTTATTCTCCCCTAAGCCGTTTTCTTACCCGACACAGAACAGTTACTTGAAGTTACACGTCTAAGCCTGAAATACTTTAGTCATAGTGACTTGTATGTGCACTCTCATTCCTCTCTGAATATTATCAAGCAGTGAAAGCCACAATGCTTTTCATTGTGCTTGGAAAGGTTACCCTAATCACAAGAAATACATAGAACTAAGATGGTCAACAGTAATGAGAAGGAGCCTGACCAAAAGACTCTATAAGAATAGAAGCTAAACAGAACCAATATGCCACAGATTGCATTGAACTGACAAAAGAGCAGCCATCACCATGGTCTGCAAGTGCAGAGGCACAATCCTGAAAAGTTACAAGTGCATGGAGGATATGAAGAAGAAAGGGAGAGAGTACAAAGTAGTATGCAACTTAGAATGAATTCACATTCAAGAAAAATAACATGTAGATTTCTGTTTATTCAGAAATTGTTCTGACTATCCCCTTTACTTCTGGCTACGTAGTGAAGCACATGCCACTACGTGGGTCACATCTACCTGTTTATGCCTCACACTGATACCTCTTTCACAGCCTAATAAGCAGCAACACGTTCTATATTAATCTGGTTTATTCTTTCTCTCTGTGGATGAATTCTGAGGGGTTTTTTTCTCCCAGACAACTTTGTGGTGTTCCTCATTCAAAGTCTTCTAGTTCTCTCTGACTTTGTGCTAAGCCCTAGTATGAACACTGATCCAGAGACCATCCATATTTTGAAGAAAAAAGTGCAGAGGGAAGAACAAGCAGGATGTGAATGTAATTTTATTTACTCAGTAACCTCTCCCTGATGGAATATTTCAGACTTGGTATGAAGAGTCTTCTATCTCACACACAAAGACCTACCAGTGTCTTTCCAGCACCATCGTTCTCCCAGATAGTGTCACTGATGCAACAGAATTAGTCATAGCATGAAGTATTCTTTGGTGCAAGCATTCCATGATGATAATATAACAAATTGTCCTAAACTGTCCTACAGCAAGAAAGCACTAAGCAAATTCCTTGTGATGTGTAAAAGTCATCTGCATTATTTGCTAGTTCTGAAATAAGTAAGAATAACAATCTGTTTCCAGACAGAGGGTTTTGGAAAAGTTTAAAGAAAGGATGTAGAATGGGGCCATTCCATAATTACAGGCACAGCATCCATATTCTGCGATTTTTCTTATCCCAATCTGAATTATGTCAAATTATATTGTAAATGCTGTAGGGCAAAGGAATATCTGTATTACCGCATATGCAGGATAAGCATACCGAATTTATAGGGAAAATTTGAATTTGTGGTTATTATGCAGCATTTCTTCATTGGGAAAGGAGTTATTGGATTACAGGCACATCTCCTGGAGAAAAGGTGAAAGAACCTTTATCTGAATCATTTAGATCTCAACTGACTGGCTAGGGAGCAGCTTTGCCGAAAAGCAACTGAACATGCGTAAGCAGCAAGCCCTTTAAGCAATGAAGTCTAATGACATTTTTGGTTGCATTAAGAACGCAGTCAGCATGTTGAAGCACTTGTGAGGCTATATTTGGAATACGATCTCTACTGTCCATACACCCCTGCCCCCCCTGCCCTAGCCCTGGTACAGCTGAGACATCAACAAGTTGTAGAGAGTCTAGGAGAGGGTCACCAAAACGATCAGTGGACTGGAGCAGAAGCATAAGAGGAGAGGCTGAGGGAGTTGATTTTGTTCATCTTGAAGAGGAACAGGCTAAAGGATGGCTATTTGCATGACTCCAATTGCCTAAACAGAGTTGGAGTCTTAGAGGGGCAAGGAGGAAGCTGGTGGGAACAAGCTGCAGCAAGATGGACTCTGGTTAGACGTAATGAAAACATGTTTCCTCTTGAGGGTCCTTCAGCACTGCAACAGATTTCTCAGAGAGCTTGTCAAATCTCTGCCCTTGAGGATACTCAGAAATCACCCAGACAAAGCACTGAGCAACATGATCTAGCTTTGGAGTCAGCCCTGTTTTGAAGAAGAATTTGTATTGAGAGATCTCCAGCAGTTCCCTCCCATCACAATTTTTCTACAAGTATATGATTTTTATCTTCTTGTTTTGCTGTTTTGAGATACCAAGAAACAGCGTGGGGTTTTTTTTATTTGTAAAAGCAGGTCAGCAACTCCTCGAAACCCACAAGTCTTTTGTTTTTTGTGTGTTGCACAACAGAAACAGCAGCTGCACATGCAAAACCCATCTGCAGACTGCAGTAGCAAGAAGATTGTGTGATAGCATGAGATAAAAAACCCACCAGCTTTCATAAGGCCCGTATGTGTCACTATTTCTGTCCAACTGTAATAGGGCAGAGAGCTGCACCCTGTGCCTCATCCTGGGAGGCTGGGGTAGTGTTGTGGTAAGAGAGGCTGATGTGTTATCGAAATGTTTTTTAAGCAAATGTCAAACCGCATCCTGTTTTGCCTAAAATTCAACTGCTGTTCCCTTAAACAGATATTTTCAAGCATGTTCTGACATGTCATCTGCTCTAATTCTGAGGTACTGTTTTCTACTGAGGCCTTCAGAGATATTTCCCCCTTCTGTCGAAGACCCTGCCTATGCTAGACAGAAGCTCCCTTCAGGGTCTCCACTCTATGCCTCCTACTTCTTCTGCATTGCTATTGCATTCCCAGATGTTCTGCTTCCAAAGCTCCACAAGCACTCCTCTATTTTGACCTGTGTTATACCTACCTCTACTTAGGATACATCTATACATTGAAGTTATGACTGTTCTCCATTTATTCCCGAGTGAGCCACCTCTGAATTACCAATTGTTTAACATGTGCCTTAAGGCAATAGCTTAATGAGAGGCAAAGTGGATGAAAGATCTCCAGAAACACTCTTCAGGATCAGTAATCCCTTGGTTTTACAATTTATGCTGCGCAGAAATAGTGCCCACAAGCACAGGTTTGAAGAACCAGTCCCTGGTTCCCCTTTCCTCTTCCCCCACAGAATAGATTCTCTTCCCTTTTTCGGAGTTTTTCTTTCCTTGTTAGCTTTTCTTGGTCTTTCTTACTTTTCTTATTTTGTTGTTCTTCCTAATTTTCCTTTTTACTCTTTTCTTTAAAAAGACCACACATTTTGATAATAGTTCATTCATTGTCTTGTACAATGTCTCCCTGGAGTTCTTACCCTCTTTTTTGTCTAAAACTCTCCTCTTCATTCTCACTAGCTAGCTCTCTTGAAAAAGATAAGACACACAATATAATTGCAGAGAAGTGGGTTTATGCAAATATTAACTTTCAGACTTCATTTTCTCCAAAGTGGTCTCCTTGTAATGTTAGAATGAGTTAGGATAAATGTGCACACACTAGAACTCTGTTTCTCTCCTTGGACTTAAGCATTAGCCCCTTCTCAAACATCCCGTACAAAACGCTCTTGGAAATGAGCACGATGTGCACAAACTTCCCAGCTGTAGCATTTCTCTGATAGTCTTCTGAAAAATAAGGGAGAAAGCAATAAATAAAAAACGACAGAGAAAACAAACATTTCTTTAGAAAACTTTACAAGACAAGGGCTTTTTTTTTTCATTTTGCTGAATAGAAGGACTTGTTCAGTGCTCATTTGCACAAGTTATAACTTGGCTGCCCTTAGCTGAAGTACGATGTTAACTAGTAATTGTATTGGACTTTTCACATTCACGTTGATATGACTGATTAGGAATCGGTCTGAAGAATGGGAAGTTGGGGGCATGAAATGAAACTGGATTTGGTCTTTCTCATGGGAGCATAATTTATTCTAATTCTGCAGTGTATTTAAGGAGATAGGGTACTGTAGTATGTGGAGTCAGTGACTTAGCAAAGTGTTCTAACTGCTTGCTAGAGTATCAACGTGCATCTTTATGCTGCAGGTAGGTCTGCTGCTCTAAGTGACATTTTTATACTGCAGTATGGAGTTCTAGCACCCAGTCTCATGGAAGATTTCATGAGAGTATACCCAGAAAAGCCACTCCTGAAAGATTCCCCACCTCTGAAAGAGCTGTACTAGCCCCTGGAGATGCTGTATGTTACATCACTTAGGTAACGTCTACAGCATTGAAATACCAGGACCACAGGGAATACCTTGTACATCCATCCCTTGCAGTCCTTCAGTCTCATTACTTCTCTTTCTTTCAAGCTTAGCAAAAATTATTTTCATTTAATCTGTTTGACTTTAAGCATTGTCTTCCCCATGAACCTACAAATACTGCTTTTAGGTGTGGGGTTCAACAAAACCCTGTTAACAGTCCCAGACAAGGACTTTCGTTTTTTTTAGGCCACTTGCCATCATATATCCTACCAGCAGACTGAAGTGTAATCACACAGTCTGACATTTGCCCTCATCCCTTAGCTAATTCTGCAGAATTCTGAATCACCTAATTGGAAATCCCGTACCTATGGACCCTCCTTCCTATCATTCATACAATGATCGGGTGCTTAAGCCACAAAATCTGTTTTCTCCTCTCCCATAAATAATGTTCTGCCTGCTTCAAGTAATGAGGGAGCCAAGGTAAAGTTTTTCTTATAGCCAGCAGAAAGGATTCCTACTATATGTATTTTGTGGGAGATGTTGCTTCAGAGATGCAAATGCTGGCTCCCACAGGAAGGTCAGTACCTCTGGCATGTGCTAACAAAAACGCTTCTCGAGGAGGGTGAAAGAGAAATGACAGATGCTCTCAGTTTTGCTCAGCCTCTACTTCTCGCTCAGTGTTGTCACGGAGGGCTGCTGTCTGAAGCTGAGGGGGACACCATAAGAAAACAGTCTATACCTGTTGTAATAGTGTGAAGGTTTGGAAGCACCAGGGACACAGAAGCCTCGATCAGCTCCTCTCTTCCTCACTCCTCTCCCCATCTTCTGTGATCCAGGAAGCTTTGAACACAGGATTTCACCAACTGCGAGGAGTGGGGAGCTGTTTATTTTCTGTTCTCAGGACCCTGGCTTGTGCCAACAGATAATTGTCTCCTATTCCGTGTCACTCCTGGCACAGAATTTGCTCACCATTTCTCAGGACCCTGGCTTGTGCCAACAGATTATTGTCTCCTATTCCATGTCACACTTGGCAAAGAACTTGCTCACCAACCTTTTTTGCTTACTTCACTTCAGATTATATCCATTTGTTTCAAATGCTATTTCTCAATTTTTTTAGTCTTTTGCTTGTATTTTAAAACAGCAGTCCCTTGCCATCAATCCTCCTCCTCCTGATAAAATATATAATTAAAGCTCAAATTTATCCCTTAATCTATCTTTCAATTCCTGAATGAAGTGTTAGTACCTTGATCTTCAAGTTTTCTCTGGTTTATGAGTTTTACTTCAAGGACCAAACATCATCTTCTTTCTTCTAATGGCTCCCCCACTCATACCCCGTCTGTGTTTCTCTTTTGATTTCTTCCCTTCTCCTGTATCTTTGTCTATTTTCTTGAATCTTTCAAAAGCAAAAAATGACCTAGAAGGTGTTTTGCAATGATCAGGGCAAATGTGGCAAAAATTATTTGTGAAAATAATAACTGCAACGGTAAGACTGATCACCTCTCTCACACATACACAGAGTAATTTAAACATGACTTGACTAAAATAGAAAATATAGGTATAAAAAGAAATAATTTAAAGACAAAATTATTCTGGGTTTCCTTTGTTTTATTTTAAACATGCTTTGTAAACAACATTTTCTTAATTGTAGCAGTTAGCTTAGCCCCTCTTCCAAACTGAAGTGTCTCTGTGTAAACACAGCTAAAAATTATTGCTAAAATTGCTGAAGTCGTGCAGACAGAAGTCCAAATGGCTAAGATTGTTACTCTGTGTTGTCTGAGTTTGTGTAAAGGAGAAATCAACTCAGATTTCCTCCCTTAGTGGGGAAGCAAAAGCTAAGATTTATGTCAATTATTGAGGGACATTACGTTGTTTAATTGAGGATATAAAAAATTGCTCCTTTTGGTCACATCTTGTGAATTTGAGATCCGTGAAGGCATTGCTGTAAAAAGCAGTCTCTCAGAAAATAGTTCTTTTTATTTGAGACAGCTGTGAGGCTGCATAAGTAATAGTTGTAATCTCTTGCTCAATGTGATATTTTCTGCTGTTCTGAAGTGTTTTGAGGAGGTTGAGGATGTGACAAGCACAGAGTAGGAAAAACGACTCCATTTTATGGCATTATATCCATCTGCCCTCTAGCACGACGATATGCTTTTTTTTCTGATAAAGGCTTTAAAAAAGATATGCCAGGTTCCCCCCAAATCTATCATCAGATCCTTTTCGAACAAAAAAAATGCTGACAGGTGACTTTTAATATATTCATTAATTTTTTTTCACAACGAGCCTGGTGCTGTGACCAGACTAATCCTGAGTAAGAACACAGTGAGTGAACAAGCAGCTACCGTGCCCCTCCTGAAAGGGTGTCACATCTCATCTGGCTACTGTTCTCTTCCCTACCACCCTTGAATTCTTCATGTATTTTGGCTAGAAATCAGCCTGGTTTTTTATTAGAACAGGTGTGAGGATTTGCTTAGATGACAGATACAAGAAATGGAAGAGCGCTTCTCTTTTCACCAGTCACCCAGGCAAATGTAATGGAATATGTTCTAAAGCTTTGCCCCTTCCTGATTTTGCTGCACTTATTTTAAACAGGAATGTAAAATTGTTAGTATAGCTGAGTTGGTCATACTGAAAGGTTCTCCTAGACTAACACGATCTGAAGAGAGAATGCCAAGCAAAGACTAATGAAGTCGTTACTTTCCTAAAATACTCTTTTATCTCCAATGTTTTTAAGTTCGGGGATCACAGTAAAATTGAAGAATCATTTGTAGTTTTTTTCCTTCTTTCCTGATCTCACACTGAATCCAGATAATTTAGTTTATAAATGTGCTTAGTAATAAAGACTTCTTTTCCTCCTTTATATCAGTAGCCATGGATTTAATAATTACTCTAAGCTGCCTTTTGCCAAGATAATAAATCTTTTTAACCCTGTTTCCTAAATCAACCCTTTAGCACATTTTGTTGGTTGTGTCAGCATTTTATTCTCTAATGAATTAATATTCGCCAGCAAGAAACAAAAATACCTAAGGAAACTTACCAAGCACTGTCAGCTGGGTGCCCTGTCCAAAGCACAGTTTGCATAGTATTTTGAAGAAGTACCAGAACTGTCTGCCACTAGAAGCTCTCAGCTGCACATCAAGCCTGTATGATATCATGCAGTATATTACCTTTCGTGAAGGCACAAGCAGAGGGGACCTTCAACCTCTCCTCTGTGTTAGAAAATACTGTGCTTTTGCATAACAATATGCTGCAACAGATAGAATATTACTACAAGAGGTGCTGTACGTCGTGAATTCAGCCTATCTTGGAAGTAGCTCTTTACATCTCTATCTGTGTCCTGTTCTCAGTTGTAGTTTCAGAATTCAATCTGAGACACCCTCTGTAAATAAAAACAGAAATGGGGAATCGCTCCCCTTTCTGCCATGACTAAGCTGCGCTGAAGAAGAATTGAGTTTCTGGAACTCACCCAACCTGCACCTATTTTTCCTAACTTCCCTCTTGCCCAGTTTTCATACAAAAGACTTCTTTTTGTCTTTAAAAAAACCCAAACATCCAGTGTCATGTATTTGTTAAAAGTGTAGGCTTCTTATCCTTACCAACTATTGTTACCTGGGTCCCAGGAACAACCTGCTGAATATGTATGACAACACTGCAGAGACTCTCTCAGAATATACCCCTCCCCATCACAAACATGGGAGTGAGCAATACGAACATCCCATGTGAAAAGTCCAGGAAGGACATGTGTTGTCCTGGGAGACAATTCCAGGGACCGACGCTCACAGGAGACATTGCAGGGATGCTGATAGTGCTAACAAGTAGGCCACAGAATCCACTTCCCCAAAAGAAGTGGTGTAAATGCTGCTTTACAGCAAACTGGAAACGACCCTGAACAACATCCTAAGGAGTATCTTATTGGGTATGTTGTCAAAAGGATAATATGGGAGTGGGAGGCTAGATCTAATAGATGTTCTTGTAGCCTCCTTCCTAGAAGTCACTTACCTGATGTGGTGCTTTCTCCTAGTGAGAAAAGTTTTTTTAAACATGTTGAATTTTTTTTTTATGATGATATTGTATTTATTTGTCCTCTTCCCTCGGCCAGACAGAACCTTCCGAGGCTGCATGTAGGAGAAGAAAAACATTGCCTGAAGCAATCTCATTGGCATGTGGCTGCACCACAAACCTGCTGACTTCTGTTCAGAGGCTGTCCTGCTTGAAAGTATCCTGTAACCATGGAAATCTATATAGAACAGTGATGGACCAGGCAAAATGTTTTTTCTACACACACAGTCTGCAACGGAGACTAGATTAGAAGCCCTCCCATGTGAAGACAAATGGGAATGCTGCCAGGATTTCATTACAAGACAAAAAGATTTTTTTACATGGATGACTTCTGGGTACCAACAGGAGAGGATTCCCTCTGTTTTGTCCACC